TTCAGTGTATGAAGTAGTCAGTGAAGCTGTGTGTGGTGACCTCTGCCCTCAGCTCTGAGAAGGCTGATGGAGGGAACTGGTGCAAGCTGGCAACCTGGTTTATACAGTGAGAAAAAAATGAGGAGAATAAGGAGGGAAGTGGGGTGGTGTGACTCCTGTCCCTGGGACATCTATGGTTTTAGAGATTCAGTGGCTTCTGTTGAGCCATAGTGAACTTCTGTTTCCTCTACTGTGGTCTCATCATAATGTTGTAGTTGTTCTGAAACTTCTCAGCTTCTCTGAAAGCCTCTGAGATTTCTCAGAGCGTGAGAATGGGGTGAAGTAGAGAGCAAACCCCAGTAGGAGTCAGAGGGATTTCAAGAAGGGGGTGGAGGCCCAGGATCATCAGCTCAGCTAGGAGCACCCTTCATCTTGGATCCTGTGCCCCTCTGTCCCCTGTTGTTGAATCCTCCAAACTCATGGGAGCTTGAGCCAGTGGGAGCAGAGCCAGGATGAAATTAATGAGCTGTGGCTAGGCCATGGGTTCCCTTCTCTAAACCCAGCCTCAGATGTGAAGTGCACTGTAGTAGACACCAGCTTCCTGCTGATGACATTCATAAAAATTTCAAAATCCGGGCTGTGACCTCAGGCAGTTTGGGGTTTGTCTGTCACACCCTTCACTGTTGTTTTTTTAGAGGTTTTATGGTTATGTCAGCTTCCAGGAGAGTCTTCAGGAGGCTCAGGTCCTTTCTCTGACACAGACCACGACACCCAGGCAGAAGATGAGCCCTGGTTCTGGTGTCCCCAGGCCTCCCACTCAATGTGATCCCTTCCCACAAAAATTGACTGCAGCCTCGGAGATCCTAGGCAGCTGAAGCAGGGCAGAAATTCAAGGAATAAGGTCAATTGTGTGGGCCTATGTCACAGTCATGTGCCTGCAGCCAGAGAGGAAGTATCAGTGACTGTGGGATTTCTTCACATCGTCCAGGTCCCCGTACCAGGTCCCCAAGCTTGGCTGGCCTCACCTTCCACTCTCCCCCCTCCCCTCTCTCCCCACTCTGTCCTGTTCTACCCCTACTGTATAGAACCACACCCAGGTCCCTGCCTTCTTTTTTTGCCCAGCTTTAGGCTCCTCTCTGCTCTGTTGGCAGCTCTCCACCTCTCACTGGCTCCTCTCATCCTTTCCCCTTTTATCTTGTCTCTCCAACCCCAACTCCCAATGCTCCATTCTCTCCCTCAACCCATGTTCACCTTCTCTTGACCTAGAGCAGGGTGTGGTATTATGTGCTATTAACAATAGTAATAATGATAATAATAATAGGTGATGATGATGAATGTCTTAGAAGAAAGTATTTATATATAGACCTGTTGCAAAAGAAGCGGTGGGCTGCCTTCCCACAGGGATCCTGGCTCCCTGGCTACTTTTCACCCGAAATAATTACACGGAAACTGTATTCATTTAAACACTGCCTGGCCCATTAGTTCTACCCTCTTATTGGCTAACTCTTACATCTTGACTAACCCATATCTAATAATCTGTATGTCACCACGAGGTCGTGGCTTACCAGCCTGAGTCTAGCCAGCATCTGTCTCAGGGAGGGGAATCATGGTGTCTGCCTATCTGTGCTTCTTTCTCTCAGCATTCTGTTCTGTCTACTCTGCCTATCTAAGATGCTGTCCTATCAAAGGCCAAGGCAGTCTCTTTATTTAACCAATAAAAGCAACAGAAATACAGAAGGCCCTCCTACATCATAGACCCTCAGACTTTAGTAAGGAAAACATTTCTATAACCTCTCACAACTGTGCTACAGCAGTATTGATTAGACAAGGTCTCTAAGACCTGGGACTCCACAAGTAGGCTAGACAGGCTTACCACTGACCCCAGGAGTGGCTTTCAGGGACCTGGTCAGAGGCTGGTCCATACTGCATGAAATAGAAAAATCAAGAATTTCTAAAACTGGTCATGAAGGGCATGTGTAAAGACTAAGAAGAGTACACGTGCCAAAGGGGATGTGATATGAAATATGTCCACTCTGTTCCATAGGAGAGCATGGAGGACTCTTGCATGCCATGCATGGCAAGATTGCCCGGGGAGAAGGACATGGGCCTCTGCAGACGCCCAGTGATGAAAACTGTACAAGGCCAGGGCAGGGAAGGCAGATGGTGTTCCTGAAATGAGAGGTCAGGAACATGGGCAGAAATGTCCTCATGTAGTAGACCAAAGTGGAGTAGTCAGGGGACAGCATCATGGAGGGACCAGGGTTCAGATGATTTGTGATGTGTGTGTAACCCAGGCTCTGACCTCAGGGTGGGGTGTGTGCCCCAAAGTGACAGAACATACAGATTCTACAGGCAAACAGATGGTCAGCGAGTTACATGCTGTCAGAAATTGATAGTTAACCATATGAGAACTGACATGCAGGACAAAGCTGGCCTCCTCGGCCCAATGTCCACCACAGAACCACTTCTCAGAGATCCCAGAGTCCTTTCTGGGAGGAGAGAAAGGAATTAGATAAGGAGGACTCCTCACCCACAGCAGGTGCAGCTCTTCTCCCAGGGTCACTGCTCCATTTAGACAGGCATATGGCCCCTAGATTATACTGTTAATGGCTAATGGGTTGTACACAGGTGGTCTCTGTTAAAAGGCTTATTTCTGCTCTTGTAAGTTAAAGCCCCCGTGGATAATATATGAATGGTGAGTGTGCCCACCCACATGCATGTCCTCTATGTTGTGACTGAGGACGATCTGTGACATTGAGGCGTGTATGGTAGGGTGCCATGTAAAGTTGTTGGCGGCAATCACAAAGAATCACAATAGAGACCCCACAGTTTGAAGGCAAGCTTGTACAGTGACAGCAGAGGCAATCCCAGAATTTCAAAGTGGCAACTGCATGGTCTTTGGCCCTGGGAGAGAGGGGCCCTCTGTTCCTGTGATACCAGTGACAATGCAGCCTCAGGGGTCCATCAGGAGCTGAGTCCTACCTCTACTATGATGTGAGGTAGACTGGACAGAATTGAGAGAAGATCCCAGAAGTAAATGGTAACAGCGACCTAGTGAGTCACCTATAGGATCATGACTATTACACACACATACACACACACACACGCACGCACGCACGCACGCACACCACAAAGAGAGTAAGAGAAAGAGAGAGAGGAATACTAATGATAAATAAATAAAATTTAAAAGAAAAGTTAACTTTCATTTCTTTCTACTTTTGCCAAACCAAGAATTAGCAAACTACTTTTTTAAAGATTTATCTATTTTGTATATGGTGCTCTGCTTGCACGTATGCTCACCCACCAGAAGAGGGCACCAGATCTCACTGTAAGCCACAATATGGTTTCTGGGAATTGAACACAGGCAGCCTGCAAGAGCAGCCAGGACTCTTAACCTCTGAGCCACCTCTCCAGCCCAATTAGCAGACGTTTTAGTACTCAAGACAGAGGAGGAAGGAAGGTCAGAGGGAAAGGAGAAAGATTAAGGAGTAGAAAAAGAATAAATAACAGAAAGCATTATTGATATATTCTAAGCTAACCCCATCAAAAGGTCCGGATCCTAAAAGTAGGTCCTGGATTATTTATTGGGGTTAAGCCAGTTCCCTCCAAGATGAGCAAAGAGATCTCTTTAGACTAAAACTACACAAAAGTATATATACCCATAGAAATGTTTTCAAAAATCCACAAGTCTGTGCTATATCCCTAAGCCATGGTATCTGGCAGAAGTAAGTAATACCTTCATGGATTTAATCCAAAGGAGACACTTAAATGTTAATTACATGTTAATTAATTAACTCCTCTCCCCCACACTGCTATACATTTTAGCTATAAAATTGTAGCTCAGGGGCTGGAGAGATGACTCAGTGTTTAAGAGCATTGCCTGCTCTTCCAAAGTCCTGAGTTCAATTCCCAGCAACCAAATGGTGGACCACAACCATCTGTAATGAGGTCTGGTGCCCTCTTCCGGCAAACTGTATACATAATAAATAAATAAATAATAAATAAATAAAAAAAAATTATAGCTCAGACTCCATGGACATTTAAAGTTCCCAGCTCTTCCCTACCATTGTATATTTATAAAGGCCGCCATTCATAACTGCTTTGTTCTGGTTTTCTCACTTATTCAATCCAAAAGAAAGAAATTGCTGTCAGTAGAACAGGGGGTGCTGAAATGCTAATTAAGAATCCAACAACAGCCAGGTCCTGGTGGCACAGGCCTTTGATCACAGCACTCAGGCCAAGGCAGGAGGATCTCTGTGAGTGAGAGGTCAGCCTGGTCTATAGGGAACGTTCCAGGCAGTCAGTGCTACACAAATTTCGCTCTCTGCCTGGCGAACTTAAGATTCATGTTACCATTAGAAGCCCCCTTGGCCAGTTTTGCCGGCTCTCTATTTTGTTATGCTTCAAACTTCCTGGAGAAAGGCTCTCTACTCCAGTCAGTGTTTTTTTTAAAAACTCCCGCAAAATTCCATGCAACTGAGGTGACCAGTACAATGCCTCCAGGGCTCCCCACAACAATAAAGACATCACAGACAACCACCTACAAAAACAGAATAGAGAATTACACACACACACACACACACACACACACTTATTTGTCACCTCAGTTTCCCTTAACTTAGAAGAGTTTATAAAAATATATTTTTGTTCCTGGGCACTTTGGGTGACCTCAAATGCAAATTTCTGCCTGTGGCCCCAGGTGGCAAAGGAGCAGGCCAAAAGATGCAGAAGGCAGGGCGGAAGGAGGGTGGGGGGAATCCTTGTAAGAGATGCGCAAGGAAGCTGCAGAAGTAGACTCCGTTTTTTTGCCCTCTCCCCCCAACAAAAAAAAAAAAAAAGAAAGAAAGAAAGAAAGAAAAATCAGCAAGGAAAGAGGAGGAAAAGAAAGCTGGGCGATGGCTGCAGGACAGAGAAGGGAATCAGAAGCGATGATTTCATTCTTTGCAAGGGTAGGGCAAATGGAAGGGTGGGGCAAGAGCCCTGACTCATGCGACCTGGCAGTGCAGCCTCTTTCAGGCTGGCACTAAGCATGGACAGACAGAAAGGACGGATAGATACCTCTGTCTTGTGCGGGTTCGGTGCAGAGCAAACTGCTGGGTTGATCAACTTTCTCTAAGGGCCGCAAGGTAGGCCGCGATAGCGGGGTTTGAACCCCAGAATCCCCTTCCCCCCTTTTATTTTGGTCTTCATGGCTTTTTTTTCCACCCTCAGGAGGCAATTAAATTTTTCACTCCGCCAGAGCGCCCCTTGGCCCACCGCTCTCTCAATCTTGCCTCCTTCTCTGGTGGGCGGCTGGCTGGGTGCAGGGCGGATGCCATGGCTCCTGCGCTTTCCCATCCCCACCCTGCCAGCCTCTCCTTTCCCCTCCGCGACTGCACCCGCCGCCGCCCCGTCCTGCCCAGGACGCGAGCGGGCTCCGGTAAGCAGCGCGAGGTGGACCAGGCTCATAGGCCTTGGCCACCTTGGGCGACTTTAAACAAGTTGCAGGCGCCGGGCACCCGCCACCGTTGTCGCCTCTCCCAGTTGCCGTTGCCTGCACTGCCCGCGCTGCCTGCGCTGCACCATGAAGAACCGGGCCGCGAAGGCGCCGGTGCCGGTCCTGCGCCCGCCTCCCTGTGGGGACCCCAAAGCCGGGCCCGCGCCTGCCGCACCCCCTTAATAAGCACCTTCCTTCCTTCCTTCTTTCCTTCCTTCTTTCTTTCCTTCCTTCCTTCTTTCCTTCCTTTCTTCCTTCTTTCATTCTTTTTTTTTTTTTCCCATGTAACTTTCCCCAAACGGGGGAAATTGGAGGCGATCTCTAGAAATTTCTTCCACAGTCGGCGGCGGGGAGCGCGGGTGTGGCGAGCGGGTAGAGCACAGGCAAACTTCGCCCACCGGTCCCGCCGCGGCTCGGCTGTGCGCGCCTGTGAGGCGGGCGAGAGGCCCCTATGCCACTTTCAATCGGTCGGTTCCCCATAGCCTAGCGGGGAAGCAAAGTGGCCCGGCCTCTTTCCCACTGCTTTGATCTCCCGCACTTGAACTTCCTGCGCTCGCTCCGCGTCTCTCCAGGCGGCGCCCGGCTCCTGTCCTCCCACCAGCCGCAGCCACCCCCCCCCCCCCCCAGCACTCTGCGCCCAGTGTCAAAAAAAAAAAAAAAAAACAACCAAAGTGACAAGCTGGGGGGTAGGGGGAGCAAAAATATTCCGCCAACTGCGCGCTGGCAAAGGTTCAGTGCCGCCAACGTGGCCGGTTCCCTTTCACAAGGTCCGCCACACCCAAAAGGAGGAAAAAAATACAAGTCTCTTCTCTCTTCCGTTTTTCCCCTTTTCTCTCCCTTTTTTTCCTCTTTCGCACTCCTTATTTCAGACTGAGATGGCCACAGACTTCCCCAACAGTCACTCCTGACTCAGTTGCCCACTCCCCCCACCCCCACCCCAGGATTAAGTTTTCTTCTCCCTCCCAGAGGCACAAAGAAGTTGGGGAGAAACGCCTTCGCTCCTTCCAGTCGTCTGACCTCTTTCCCAAGCCAAGGGTGAACTCCCTTCCCTCTCTATGGGGAAAAAAAATCAATGAGTGGCTTTGGTACAGTCCAAGCTGCAGATTAATTAAAAATTAAATCCGATCAGCCACTTCTCACCCCCAAACACACCCAAATTCTCTCTCTCGCTCTCTCTCTCTCTCTGTCTCTCTGTCTCTCCCTCCCTCCCTGTCTGTCTCTCTCTCTCTCTCTCTCTCTCTCTCTCTCTCTCTCTCTCTCTCTCTCTCTCTCTCCCTTTTCCCCTCATCTCACAAGAAGTTCCAAGGAAAGGCCCAGGGCTACAAACGCGCTGCACACTGCGCATGTGCAAGTGAGTCAACACTGGGGAGGGTGAAACTGCTGAGGTGCCCTTGCCTCTGCCGCCCTCCCCTGCCAGGCTGGCTCAGGCGGACTTCCCCTTTACTGCTGCTATATCTTTGGCTTCTGGAAAGCAGCAATGGAGAGGCTTGGCCAAGGCGGCCACTGGCAAACACTGGTTCAGGTGCATCCCTTTGCCATTCCTGTTGCTGCTGCTTCCCAGCTGGGCCAAAGAATGGCCCTAACATTCTTCCTAAGAATGAGGAGATTACAGATTTCTTTGTGTGCTTTTACCATTTTCTTTTTTCCAAAGGCAATTCTCAGAGTAGCGAATCCACCAGGTGCTGGTTAAATGTGTGCGTTCACCATTAAAGAGTGGGTTCTGGTCTCACACCAATTGCTACCCAGGGGCTGAATTCATACATACCACAGGTCAAGAAAAATAAGAAATGAAGTTCTAAGCTTGTATGGAGATTAATTTGCCCATTTCGAGGCTAGAAGAATGCATAATAAAGTCTGAAATTTGTGCATTTGTTCCACATTCTAAATGGGATTTCTATTGACAGCATCAGTGGGTTAGGCCTTTGTTCTAGGGACGCTGGGAGTTCTACCTCAACTTAGAAATCCCTGGTGAAGTGCCTAGGATATAAGATGGGACCACCAGCTTAATGTGGTCAGGCAAGATGGCCGAGCTCACCTAAATAGCAAACCCTGCCTTTGTCAGAGCTTCAATTCTGGATCAAGCCAAGCTAGTATTGTATTTCAATATTGACAGTTTTCTCTTACGGATGATCTGCAAAATGGCTTTGTGGGAGTTTATGGTTCTCCTTTTCTACATGGTTAGGGGCAGACGAAATGATTCAAAGTCACTAAGGTTGCTATGAGTATGTTGATGCCAACAGGAGAGTCTGCTGTGAAGGAAAAGGGGATAAAGCAGTGAGGTGTGATTTCAGAGATGGTGAGGCAAGCCTAGCACTTCTCTGAGGGGAAAGGGAAAGCAGTGGGGAAGTAAAGGAAAGCTCCACCGCCAGCTGTACTGTTTGTTTTGCCTCCAATGAAGGGAACAGGGGTCTTTCTCTGCTATAGTTGGCTTGAGGCCTAGAATTTAAATATATCACAGATGGAAATTCCGTATTAAAAAGCCTTCCCCTAAAAAGGAAGATTATCCTTGATTGAATTTTTTTCACCTAACAAATGTTCTTTAAACTAGTTTCAGAAAATAAACTCTTAAACTGAGGAACTTCTTTCCTCAGGCCCATAAAATTGTTCTAGAGAAACAGATCACCACATATTTCTTCTGTTACTGTAGAGACCAGCTCTCTAACTCTCAAATCGAGGTACATGGCTTGATATGTGCTTTGGGACACAGGTGCTAACTAAGTTTGCAGAGTTGAAATGAGTTCATAAAATAAGCTTCCTGTGCTGCCTGCACAGGCACTGGCTCAGGGGTGTGCAGCAGGGACTGTCTGGTTAGTGAAAGCTATTGGTTACCTCAGACCACCACCTGAGGACTGATTTACTAAACATGCTTCAAGGGCAGCTTTATTAGCAGACAGGAATTTCAGCTTGTCCCTTTGCTTCCCAACTCTTGAATAAGACAAAGTGAAATGGCCAAAGGCAGACTACAAGAGAAAGAAAGGTCAGGAGTTTTGTGGTAACCTAAGACCATGCCCCCAAGAAAATCAAAGTTAATTTCAAATTCTTCTTTCTAAAATTCCATCCATCTCAAAGTCATTTTCTAGAAAATTTTAGGTTATATTTTTATTGTGTGTAAGTGTGTGTGCACGCACGCGTGTGCATGTTTTCATAAGCATTTATTTGATAGTCTTTTTTTTTTCAACTAGGTTTTTTGGGTTGGTTTATTTTGGTTTTAGTTTAAAGTCTTCTACTGCAACCCAGGCTGGTCTAGATTCATAGAAGTCAAGTCATTTATCTCAACTTCTTAAAGACTGGGTTAGTAGTTGTTTGCTACCATGCCCACCCATTCTTCCTACAAGGTGCCTGAGATGAAAAGCTCACCAAAAGTACCATAATGCGCAACTTTTTTCAGTCATAAATACTATGGTAGAAAGAAAATTGAGGCATGCCCTGAGCAATAAGGAAAGATGAAGATCCAGGATATCTGATGGCCCATTATCTTAGAAGGAGTCTGTGAAGGACAACTAATTAGAGAAGGCCTGTTACAGTCAAGGGTTTAGAGAGTATGCCTCACATGGAAGCCTGCTCTGGTGAGGGTTGGCCAGAAGAAATGGGGATTTTGTGAAGTTGATACAATACATTGTATCTCTGCTCCCAAGTCACTGTGGAAACTTTGTCTCTAATTCTTGTAGCCCTACATAGTGGAAATGCCTAAGATATTGAAGACTGCTGGATTCGGTCTCTGTTCAAGCAGAGAATTCTGATATGTAAGTTTACCCCTAAATAAATAACCATCTATTTCTTAAATTTGAGCTAGTTTTCTATTACATGTCAACAAGTTAAGGAGATTATAAAGAGATGCCCTACTTGCTCTTTCTATAACCAAACACCATTACCTGCAGGAACTAACTCAAAGGGCACTCAAAGGAATGAAATCTGGCAGATGGATGTTTCCACTTTGCAGAATTTGGAAAATTAAAATATGTGCACCACACCATTGACACTTATTCAGGTTTTCAGTGGGCAACTGCTTTAAGCTTAGAAAAGGCTGATTTAGTAATCACACATTTATTAGAAGTTATGGCCATCATGGGTATACCTGCACAAATAAAAACAAATAAGGGTCCAGCATATGTCTCTAGGAAAATGAGGTGGTTTTTTGCTTATTATTATTAAGCATATTACAGGTATACCACACAATCCTACTGGTCAAGCAGTTATAGAAAGAACAAATCAAACTATAAAGGATATGTTAAACAGATAGAAAGGGGTGGAAAATGCCCTATTAGCCTTGAATTTTCTTAAAGTTAATCAGAAACGGACAACAGCAGCAGAGAGACACTGGATAATAGAAAAATCTTCTGAATTAAACCAACTGGTTTATTTCAAGGATGTGCTGACCTCACAATGGAAGCTAGGAGATGTGCTGCATTGGGGATGGGGTTTTGCTCTTGTTTCCACAGGAGAAGAAAAACAATAGATACCATCAAAATTAATAAAGATTCAGTTTAGAAAGTAGAAACCTCTTGAAAAGGATAAATGACAGCTCATCCACAATGGTGATAACCATAGAGTTGGTAAAGAAAGCATATATGTTGAGGCAGGGTTATGGTTTTGTCTTTGTAGGAAAATACTGGTCTTCAAAAATTCAAGAGACCCTGGATGTTTGGATGCTGACAGAAGGAAAAATAACTATTCAATAAGGATCATCAAGAAAAATGAGTATGACTTATAAGAACAGGTGATAAAATATATATAAATATATAGAGCTGGTTTTGGTGTCAGACAACAGCTCTGTCCTTCTCTAAATCTAAGCACATTGTTAAAAGAAAAACCCAGAGTTTCTATCTCATGTCAAGAGCCATTTGGTATGGGACAGAAAGAAAAAAGAATTTAGAAAAAAATTTACTTTTCTTCATGTCTGTTTTTGTCTTTATCATACCTTTCATTGCATATATATATCTGTACATGTGTATATAAATAATGTTCAAGTTTTCCACAATGAACACCCCCATGACAGCTAGAAGTAATTCTGAAAGGTGACATCCCCTTTCCCAATAAAGTTTGTTCTCAGGGTAAGAGACATCTTTTAGGGGGTGACTATAATTGGTATAGGGTTGGGGGTTGGGGTATAATTTTATAGGCTCAGGGATCATTAAAAAAAGGAAAAATTGGATGGGAAAATAGATTAGTGTGATCTTACTTGAACAAATAATAATAGTGAGTAATAGAGTGAATACATGTGATGTATTATTTATAGACAATTACGTTGGTATAGATTCTTGTATATTGATACAAAGTTAAATTATATTGAATACTGTATGCATGCATGCTTCTACCTCTGCTCAAAACATTTTTAACCTTTATTTTTTTAAATTTATTTATTTATTAAGGATTTCTGCCTCCTTCCTGCCACCGCCTCCCATTTCCCTCCCCCTCCCCCTATCAAACCCCTCTCCCTCATCAGCTCAGAGAGCAATCAGGGTTTCCTGACCTATGGGAAGTCCAAGGACCGCCCACCTCCATCCAGGTTTAGTAAGGTGAGCATCCAAACTGCCTAGGCTCCCACAAAGCCAGTACATGCAGTAGGATCAGAAACCCATTGCCATTGTTCTTGAGTTCTCTGTAGTCCTCATTGTCCGCTATGTTCAGCAAGTCCGGTTTTATCCCATGCTTTTTTCAGACCCAGGCCAGCTGGCCTTGGTGAATTCCCAATAGGACATCCCCATTGTCTCAGTGTGTGGGTGTACCCCTCGCGGTCCTGAGTTCCTTGCTCGTGCTCCGTCTCCTTCTGCTCCTGATTTGGACCTTGAGATTTCTGTCCAGTGCTCCCATGTGGGTCTCTGTCTCTGTCTCCTTTCATCTCCTGATTAAGGTTAATATTCAGGAGGATGCCTATATGTTTGTCTTTGGATTCACCTTCTTATTTAGCTTCTCTAGGATCGCGAATTATAAGCTCAATGTCCTTTATTTATGGCTAGAAACCAAATATGAGTGAGTACATCCCATGTTCCTCTTTTTGGGTCTGGCTTACCTCACTCAGGATAGTGTTTTCTATTTCCATCCATTTGTACGCAAAATTCAAGAAGTCCTTGTTTTTTACTGCTGAGTAATACTCTAATATGTATATATTCCATACTTTCTTCATCCATTCTTGCATTGAAGGGCATCTAGGTTGTTTGCAGGTTCTGGCTATTACAAACAATGCTGCTATGAACATAGTTGAGCATATACTTTTGTTGTATGATAGGGCCTCTCTTGGGTATATTCCCAAGAGTGGTACTGCTGGGTCCAGGGGTAGGTTGATCCCGAATTTCCTGAGAAACCGCCACACTGCTTTCCAGAGTGGTTGCACAAGTTTGCATTCCCACCAGCAATGGATGAGTGTACCCCTTTCTCCACAACCTCTCCTGCAAAGGCTATCATTGGTGTTTTTGATTTTAGCCATTCTGACAGGTGTAAGATGGTATCTTAAAATTGTCTTGATTTGCATTTCCCTGATTGGTAAGGAAGTTGAGCATGACCTTAAGTGTCTTTTGGCCATTTGAACTTCTTCTGTTGAGAATTCTCTGTTCAGTTCAGTGCCCCATTTTATAATTGGGTTGATTAGCCTTTTGCGTTCTAGTTTCTTGAGTTCTTTATATATTTTGGAGATCAGACCTTTGTCAGTTGCGGGGTTGGTGAAGATCTTCTCCCAGTCAGTGGGTTGCCTTTTTGTCCTAGTGACAGTGTCCTTTGCTTTACAGAAGCTTCACAGTCTCAGGAGGTCCCATTTATTCAATGAGGCCCTTAATGTCTGTGCTGCTGGGGTTATACGTAGGAAGTGGTCTCCTGTGCCCATGTGTTGTAGAGTACTTCCCACTTTCTCTTCTATCAGGTTCAGTGTGTTCGGACTGATATTGAGGTCTTTAATCCATTTGGACTTGAGTTTTGTGCATGGTGATAGATATGGATCTATTTTCATTCTTCTACAGATTGACATCCAGTTTTGCCAGCACAATTTGTTGAAGATGCTCTCTTTTTTCCATTGTATACTTTTAGCTCCTTTATCGAAAATCAGGTGTTCATAGGTTTGTGGGTTAAAGTTAGGTCTTCTATTTGATTCCATTGGTCGACTTCTCTGTTTTTATGCCAATACCAAGCTGTTTTCAATACTGTAGCTCTGTAATAGAGTTTGAAGTCAGGGATGGTAATGCCTCCAGACAATCCTTTATTGTATAAGATTGTTTTGGCTATCCTGGGTTTTTTTTTCCATACAAAGTTGATTATTGTCTTCTCCAGACCTGTGAAGAATTTTGATGGGATTTTGATGGGGATTGCATTGAATCTATAGATTGCTTTTGATAGAATTGCCATTTTTACTATGTTGATCCTCCCAATCCAAGAGCAAGGGAGGTCCTTCCATTTTCTGGTATACTCCTCAATTTCTTTCTTCAAAGACTTAAAGTTCTTGTCAAATAGATCTTTCTCTTCCTTTTTCAGAGTTACCCCAAGATATTTTATGCTATTTGTGGCTATCGTGAAAGGTGATGCTTCTCTGATTTCCCTCTCTGCTTCCTTATCCTTAGTGTATAGGAAGGCAACTGATTTTTTGGAGTTGATCTTGTATCCTGCCACATTACTAAAGGTGTTTATCAGCTGTAGGAGTTCTTTGGTAGAGTTTTTGGGGTCGCTTATGTATACTATCATAGCGTCTGCAAATAACGAAAGCTTAACTTCTTCCTTTCCAATACGAATCCTCTTGATCCCCTTATGTTGTCTTATTGCTATTGCTAGAACTTCAAGCCCTATATTGAAGAGGTATGGAGAGAGTGGACATCCTTGTCGTGTTCCTGATTTTAGTGGGATGGCTTTGAGTTTTTCTCCTTTTAATTTAATGTTAGCTGTTGGTTTGCTGTAAATAGCTTTTATTATATTTAGGTAGGACCCTTGTATTCCTAATCTCTCCAAGACTTTTATCATAAAGGGGTGTTGAATTTTGTCGAATGCTTTTCAGCATCTAATGAAATGATCATATGGTTTTTTTCTTTCAGTTTATTTATATGGTGGATTACATTGATAGATTTTCGTATGTTGAACCAGCCCTGCATCTCTGGGATGAAGCCTACTTGATTATAATGGATAATTTTTCGGATGTATTCTTTGATTCGGTTTGCCAATATTTTATTGAGAATTTTTTTAAAATATTTATTTATTCATTATGTATACAATATTCTGTCTGTGTGTGTATGCCTGCAGGCCAGAAGAGGGCACCAGACCCCATTACAGATGGTTGTGAGCCACCATGTGGTTGCTGGGAACTGAACCCAGGACCTTTGGAAGAGCAGGCAATGCTCTTAACCCCTGAGCCATCTCTCCAGCCCCTTTACTGAGAATTTTTGTGTCAATATTCATGAGTGAGATAGGCCTGTAATTCTCTTTCTTGGTTGGGTCTTTGTGTGGTTTTGGTATCAGGGTAACTGTAGCTTCATAAAAGGATTTGGCAATGACTCCTCTGTTTCTATATTGTGAAATACATTAAGGAGTATAGGTATTAGCTCTTCTTGGAAGTTCTGGTAGAATTCTGCATTGAAACCATCTGGTCCTGGGCTTTTTTTCGAAGGGAGATTTTTAATAACTGTTTCTAATTCTTCGCTACTAACAGGTCTATTTAGATTGTTCACCTGGTCTTGGTTTAGCTTTGGTATATGGTACTTATTTTAAAAAATGTCCATTTCTTTTGTATTTTCCAGTTTTGTGGCATACAGGCTTTTGTAGTAAGATCTAATGAGTCTCTGAATTTCCTTTGTGTCTGTGGTTATGTCCCCCTTTTCATTTCGGATCTTATTTATTTGCGTGTTCTCTCTCTGTCATTTAATTAGTTTGGATAGGGGTTTGTCGATCTTGTTGATTTTCTTCAAGAACCAACTTTTTGTTTCATTGATTCTTTGGACTGTTTTCTGCGTTTCTATTTTGTTGATTTCCGCCCTCAGTTTTATTATTTCCAGTCTTCTACTTCTCCTGGGCGCGTCTGCTTCTTTTTTTTTTCTAGAGCTTTCAGGTGTGTTGTTAAGTCCCCAATGTATGCATTCTCCATTTTCTTTAGGTGGGCACTTAGTGCTATGAACTTTCCTCTTAGCACTGCTTTCATCGTGTCCCATAGGTTTGAGTATGTTGTCTCCTTATTTTCATTAAATTCAAGGAAGACTTTAATTTCTTTCTTGATTTCTTCCTTGACCCAGGTGTGGTTCAGTAGTTGACTGTTCAGTTTCCATGAGTTTGTCGGTTTTTTGGGGGCAGCGTGGTTGTTGCCTTCTAACTTTAATCCGTGATGATCTGATAAGACACAAGTGGACACTGATATTTTTTTGTATCTGTGGAGGTTTCCTTTGTTTCCGAGTATGTGGTCAATTTTTGAGAAGGTTCCATGAGCTGCAGAGAAGAAGGTATATTCTTTCCTATTTTGGTGGAATGTTCTATAGATGTCTGTTAAGTCCATTTGCTTCATTACCTCCAATAATTCTCTTAATTCTCTATTAGGTTTCTGTCTGATTGACCTGTCCCTTGGAGAGAGAGGTGTGTTGAAGTCTCCTACTACTAGTGTGTGTGGTTTGATGTCTGCCTTGAGTTCTAGTAATATTTCTTTTACATAAGTAGGTGCTTTTATATTGGGGGCGTATATATTCAGGATTGAGATGTCCTCCTGATGAATTGTTCCTGTTATGAGTATAAAGTGACCGTCTTGGTCTCTTCTGATTGATTTTAGTTTGAAGTCAGTTTTGTTAGAAATTAGTATGGCCACACCTGCTTTTTTCTTAGGACCATTTGCTTGAAACACCTTTTCCCAACCCTTTACTCTGAGTAGGTGCCTGTCTTTGTGGTTGAGATGTGTTTCTTGCAAACAGCAGAATGTTGGATCCTGTTTTCGTATCCAATCTTTTAGCCTGTGCCTTTTTATAGGTGAATTGAGCCCATTAATATTAAGTGATATTAATGACCAGTGGTTGTTTACTCCGGTTATTCTTATTGTTTTTGGTAGTAGAGTTTGTGTATCTCCCTTCTTTGAGATGTTCTGGTGAAGGCTCGCTAGATGCCTGAGTTATTGTAGGCAGTGTTGGTAATGTTGGATTCCTTGGGTTGCGATTTTCCTTCTATTACTTTCTGTAGGCCTGGATTTGTGGCTACGTATTGTTTAAATTTGTTCTTATCCTGGAATGTCTTGTTTTCTCCATTGATAATGAACGATAGCTTGGCTGGGTATAGTAGTTTGGGTTTGCATCCATGGTCTCTTAGCTTCTGCAGTACATCTATCCAGGACCTTCTGGCTTTCATGGTTTCCATAGAGAAGTCAGGTGTAAGTTTGATCGGTTTACCTTTATAAGTTACATGCCCTTTTTCCTTTGCAGCTCTTAATATTCTTTCTTTAACCTGTACATTTTTTGTTTTGATTATTATTTTGGCGAGGAGATGTTTTTCTTTGATCCAGTCTGTTTGGTGTTCTGTATGCTTCTTGAATATTTAAATGAATATCTTTCTTTATGTTGGGAAAGTTTTCTTCCATAATTTTGTTAAAAATATTTTCTGGGCCTTTGAGCGGTGACTCTTCTCCTTCTTCTATTCCTATTATTCTTAGGTTTGGTCTTTTTATTGTGTCCCATATTTCCTGAATGTTTTGTGTTGAGAATTTGTTGGCTTTGCTGTTTTCTTTGATCTGTGCGTTTATTTTCTCTATGGTGTTCTCAGAATCTGAGATTCTTTCTTCTATCTCTTATATTCTATTGATTATGCTTGTTTCTGTAGACTCTGCTCATTGACCTTGATTTTCCATAACCAGCTGGTCCTCAGTTTGTGTTTTCTTCCTTACCTTCATTTCAGTTTTTAGTTCTTGATCTGTTTCCATTACCTGTTTGATCGTTTTTTCTTGGTTTCCCAGGGTATTATGTACGTATTTACTCATTTCTTCAAACTTTTTGTTATACTTCTCATCCATTTCTATAAGGGCATTTTTTACATGTTGTTTAAGGGACTCTATTGTCTTCATAAAGTCAATTTTTTCCACTTCTTCTGTGTTAGGGTGTTCAAATACTTCTGTTGTAAGATCATTGGGTTCTGGTGTTTTCATGTTGTTTTTCAGATTATTGGGTGAATTCTTGCCTTGGTGCCTGCCCATCTCTTCCTATTGATCCTATCTAATGGCTCTTTTAAAACCAGATCAGGTTTCCCTGCTGGCCAAGGTTTCCGCTTACCAATTGCCCTCGCTGTTTCCTGGTTCCTGCTGCAGGCCACGAACCCTCTCACCTCTCCCAAGGGTCTTCAGGATCAGAACCAGGCTCCCCGTTTGCCAGTGACCTCACCAACAAAAGGCCTACCTCTTTGATTTAATTGTAGTGGGGTGATCTGCTCTCATTATTGTGCGCCCGTCCCCGCCTCGTGCGTCTGCCGCTGTGCTGGCCCCCACCGCTTGCCTCTGTCTCAGGCCGGTGCCAGACACCGCGTCGGTCCCCCCTCGGGTTTTCTCTTTGATTTACTTGTAGTGGGGCGATCTGCTCTTGTTATTGCGTGCCTGTCCCCTCCGCTTGCGTCTGCCACCGCGCCAGTCCCCCAAAGCCTATTCCTGATTGCAGCACTTCTCTGCTGCAACTGCGAGCCGAGCCTCTCTACCCTGCGACTAGTCAACTTTCAAGGCCGGAAGTTCACTGGCAGATCTGACTTTCTTGGCTCCCGAGGCTTGATTAGAGAGCAGCTTCTTCTGGCGTAGCTGATGGGTCAACCTTTATTTTTTTTTAAAGATTTATTTATTTATTTATTTATACAGTATCCTGCCTGTAGGCCAGAAGAGGGCACCAGATCTCATTACAGATGGTTTTGAGCCACCATGTGGTTGCTGGGAATTGAACTCAGGACCTCTGGAAGAGCAGTCAGTGCTCTTAACCACTGAGCTATCTCTCCAGCCCTCAAAACATTTTTATATGTTGATACATATTTATTATATTGCAATGTACATTTCTACCTTTGATCAAGATACTTATACATTGTTTACACTTTGAGGTCATTTCCTCATTTGTTGGACAGTTGTTTATTGTCTTAGTCTTTAAGTTATATAGGTATTACAAATTATAGATCAATAGTCATTTATGCTTGTTTATTGTCTACACAACAAATCTCAATATATCATAATTATCAGGTCTACAAATGATTACTTAACTGGCCATTGCAATAAAACAATACATGATCATTAAAACAATGTGCTTGGTTTTATATTCTGAGATATTATTGCCAGTTACAGGGAATCTGATGCCCACTTTTGACTTGTGCAAGTACCGAGAACACACGTTACATACACACATACACATAGGAAAATACTCATACATATCAAAAGTAAAAGCTAAACAATATTAAACAGTGTTCTAGCACATTAATGACACAGAGAAATTGTTCCCATATGTGTGTATAAGGTATTTTGGTCATATCAACCCTTCTATTCCATCTCCTGTCCCTTTCCCACTCCCTAGCTGCTTTCTCATCTCAATTACTCTCCCTCCACTCTTTAAAAATTTTTTGGGGTCCCATGATTTCATTTGGGGTTATTTATAGATGCAACGGTGAGGAGTTATTGATAACAACATAGGCTTATTTCTAGGGGTAATATCGCTGAACAAAATGCTTCTTCAGCTCCAGCACCATTAACTGCAGATAGATTCTAAGGAGCTCTGGAGACTCATGACTCCTCTCTCTCCATGAAGGGAAGGCTGACAGGTCTGCTCTTGTGCAGGGATCGTGCAAGTGCTCAGAGCTGCTGAGAGTTCAGCAGTGCAGCAGCCCTGTCATGATGGAACACAGGGTTCTCTTACAGACTTTCTTCCCCCTCTTGTAAGCGGTTTCCTGACTCATGAATGTGGGAATGTAGATGTCTGGTTTATTGACTGCTTTTACCTTCATGCCGTAGGCTTACCCCCCTGGGACAACATTTTGGTGACCTGGTTGGCGAACTCTCTGTTGGCTCCATTGGTCTCTATTTCCTCTGTGGCTTGTGACAGTTGATGGGACAGCTCATGGGCAGCTGAAGGTTTCTGTCTGGAAAGGTTTTGCAGTGAAATCCAAAGCTCCAGACTATGAGTCTGAAAGTAATTAGCCCGGTACACCAACACAGAAGTCTGCAAGTCATTGGTTAACCTGTACCTAGATGCAAAGGGGTTTGAATGAGAAACTTGGCTTCTCCTCACAGAGACCAACCCTGACCATGAGCAGGAGGCAAGCAATGAACCTAGCAAGGGCTTCCTCTCAGGGACTGAGACAGGTGGAAGGTTCTTGTTTTTGTTGTTTTGTTTGTTTCTGTGTTTCTGTCTAGGTGACATTGCAGAACCAAAAAAGATTTGGGTCCCCAACAGAAGATTCTTAAGCCAGGGGATTCTCATACCAGAGAAAGCATTGGTTAATAGAGAGAGCAGGAAGTGACAGAAAAACAGACACCCAGATACACACAGAGACTAAAGACAACCACTGATGACCACCACACATTCATACACCTGGACAGACAGGGGCAATCCAGTGACATCCCTTAGGCTTCTGACACTGGACCAGTGGCCTTGTTGGACCTCTTCTGTGTGTCCAAAAAGATGTCACCTTAACTGGACATACCTCTAGAGGTGACATTCTAATTTTATTTCCTTTTGAGGTGGAGATGTCAGACTCCTCTGAAGCCTTATGCAACATTTAATCAAAGGGAGCCCTGGGGACCTAGAACTCAGGTTGCACAGTCCCAGAACAATAATTCTTAATCTTCCCAATGTTGTGACCCATTAAGACAGATTCTCATATTGTTTTTGGTCTCAAACCATAAAATTATTCGTGATACTCCATCATAACTGTAGTTTTACTATTGGTCTGAATTGTAATGTAAATATCTGATATGCAAGGTATCTGGTGTGTGACCCCTTTGAAAGGGTCCTTCAACCCCCAAAGGGAGTTGTGACCCACAGGTTGAGGACCACTGCCCTAGGGTGTAGTAGTAAGAGTGGTGGGCTGCATCCCCAGCACCCGGCCACCCGCACGGCTAGCTTTACCCGAATTAATTACACACAAACTGTATTCATTTAAACACTGCTTGGCCCATTTCTATCTAGCCTCTTCTAGGCTAATTCTCACATATTAATTTAGCCCATTTCTAATCATCTGTGTAGCCCATGAGCTGGCTTACCAGGAATGATCTTAACCTGCGTCTGCCTGGAGTGGGAGAATCATGGCGACTCCTGACTCAGCTTCTTTCTCCCTGCATTCTGTTCTGTTTACTCCACCCACCTATGTTTTTAACCTATGAGGGCCAAGCAGTTTCTTTATTGCTTAACCAATGAAATCAACAGAGTGATATATAACACTCCCCCATCACTAGGGGCTTCTTGACAACCACAGTCTTCCCTGCTCCAAGGGACCCTGAGCTCTCCAGTGTCTTGAGGTCTTACTCAGGATTCTCTGCAGGAACTTCCAGAAATGTAGGTTATTCACTAGAGAAAACTGCTCAGACAAAGATTTAAGTCAATAGAAACTCTTTATTAGCTGATCATCAACTACACTGGGTGTTTAAGGTCCCAGTGTAGCACTGAACCTCTAGGTAGAGCTTTTAAACACAAAACCATGTTCTGAATGGACATAGTCAGTTAATAGAAGAGTTGGCAGAAGTGGAAGGACAGAAGCCTAAAGCAAGGTTAATCCATTCAGAGACTTGTATGGACTAGGCCTTTATTTGAGTTTTGGCAGGTAGTGCTTCCTATATGCTGAGTTTTACAGCTTGGATGGAGCTTCCATCATGGAGTCAAGTGTGCCCTGGTACAGTTACCAGTGATTTCTACTAAACAACTGGTCCTCAACTTCCGTTTTCTATGATTAGTTGTTAGAGGTTACCTTTTGATATCTGAGATATTTGATTATTGCCAGTTATATATGCAAGAGTTAAAAACTTCACATTCCCACTAAGGAGATCCAGTAATCCTGTTTCCTATGCTAGGGATCGGTAATAACCACTTCTCTCCAGATCTCTAGTAAAAGTAGTTTCACAATGAGAGCAATTCCCACTAAGGAGCACCAAGAGAAACAGTACAAGGTGATAAGAAAAGACTCTAAGCAATTAGCACAGCGTGATAGACCATGAAGTGTTGTGTCTGCAGCATCATGATTCATCTGGTGGAGGCTGATGGAAAGGGAGAGTGGTGGCACCAGATGAACCCTCATGACTTTCCTGGAGCATCTTCAACCTGCAGCAAGGAAACACATCTATTGAAGGATCTGAGGAGAGCCTGGGTCAGTTCTCCTGGGTGCCCTGTACCAGTCATCACCACCCCACAGCCACGCTCACTGAGGGTCATTCAGTTCCCTCCTCCATCACCCCTGGGCTCTCCATCCTGGATCCCCTACTCTCTTCCTCCTTCTTTCCCTTGTCACAGGGAATGCTGCAGACCTGGAAGTTCAGAATAGAGTGGTGATGACTATCTCTGCTTCCTGACTCAGGGCCTGATGCCTGTGACTGTCCTGGTCCAACCAAGTCCATCTGAGCAGCCCAGATGGGAGCAGACTCCAGCACTAGCTCAGTCCACTGGTCTCCTGTGGGGACACTACTCCCGGGATTCTAGAGGCTATTGCTGCTGCTTGATTTATATCTAGTTTCTATCTGTGCATGTGAGCCTGCATGCCTATAAGTGCACTGTGTGAATGCCTGCAGTCTGTTCAGAAGAAGGGGCTGGATCCTCGGACCCAGAGCTGTATGCTTGTGATTGCCCTGTGGGTGCTGGGAACAGAACCTGTGTCTGATGCACGAACAGCGCTTGTTCTTGTCACTGGGCCATCTCTTTATTTTTATCTTTTTAACTTTGCCTGTGGGTTGAAACCCTCTTCTTCTATATATTAAGAGGAACTGCCTGCCATGTTCTGTGTTTCTGCTGTCTCCACATCTGCATCATGGGATCCTCCTGATTGGGAGCCTGCTTTGAGCACACACCTGCTGTGTTCCCTCCTCATTCCTGCTGCTCTGTGACATGATTCCTGTCCCATCAAGGCTGAGCATGCAAAGCTATTGCTAGCAGGTGACATGAACTCCAGATCTCCTGCCTCCTTTCACAATAAGATGCTACAGTTGAGGGACAAGAGCGTGACTTCAGGAATTCACCCTTGCTTCTTCACTCCTAGCCCATCTGTCCCTTACACCACACCCAGTCCTGCCCTCAGTACCTGTCATTGCAGATACTTTAAGAGAACCAGGAGGGCTAAGGTGAACAGCAAGACAAAGGCATTGGGCTTCACGGTCATGGATGAATTCTGGTCCACATCTGGGGCAATGGTTGGTGAGGCTGAAGTGAAAATACCAGCTGTGTCTTTGACCAGACCTGAAATCAAGAGAAAAGTCTCACCATAGCTTCTGGGTCCTCTGGTAATTCAGCAACACAGAGAGTTCCACCCCTGTTGCTGTGCAACAGCTGTTAGGTGGGTCCCAAGTAGGAAAGGAGAGAGGGCATGTTCCCTGACCACAAAGGACTCATGGAGCTATGGTAGGGGAAGCAGGGTATTGATGGGGCCTTATCGTTACTGCTGGCAGGAGAGCAGGCATGAGATTGACCTGTGAGGACGGTGTCAGGGAAGAAGAAAGATCAGGTGAGAAAAGCAACAGTGAGTCTTGAAATGAAGAAAAGGCCAGGAAATACAAGGATGCTCAAACTGTGACAGCCAGCGAGAACCACAGTAAGAACAATACAAACACAATTAATGTGATTGGAGAGGCTGAGAAATGAAATGACTGACGGAAAAAATGAGCTTAAACTCAAGAACGTATAGTGATTAGATTACCACACACACACACACACACACACACACACACACACACACCTCAACTCTAGAGAGTTTCTTTCCAGTTACCTGTAGGCTCCAGCTTTTCTTCTAAGTGTGACTTGATCATCTCCTTAAGCCAGGCCTTGCAGTCCCCCTGTGAGGTCGTGGATAAGAAGTCTGTTAAATCCTTGTTTTTCTCCAACATCTCTTTTATCTGCATGGATCCAGGGTCAACTTCAGTCCACTTTCCAATGCCTAGGTGAAGATACAGCACTTTCTGTCCATTGAGGTATAGGTCACAGGATGCATAGGAATTTTCATCTGCTTCATACCAACAGCATTTCTTGGCCTGCAGAGAGAGGGGCTCTGTGCCCATTGGAAAGGGATCAGCCTCTGGCTTTGATGAATTCTGTCTACCTACCCTCCTCCCTTTCCATCCTCTGACCTTGCTCTACCCTCCACATTATTTTAGCCTTGCTTGGTGCTGGACCTCTGAGGTGGGAGGGACCACCAGTGGTTCATTTCTTATCCTCCAGGAAAACAATGAATGTCCCTAACCCATCACAAATCCTGTTCTTTCCCTCAGGTGGGCATCTGATTGTTCTTTCATTTACTTTGTAACATTGGGGGATTGAACCTAGGTCCTCATGGATGCTAGGCAAGCACTCTGTTACTGAGCTTCATACCCAGCACTATGGGGCTGTTTGAAACTCACCTCTGATTGTATCAATCTCCTGTTTCATGAGAAGTGCTTGGTCAGTGACCAGGTCAATTCCGTCTTTCAGAGTGTCAACCTGTCCTTCCCAGGACTGTATGGCTTTTAGTGTTTCCCCCAGACCACTAATTGCACGGCAGTTTGTACTGTCACAGGTAATAAAAGTCTTTTCATCCAGTTGTCCTTGGACTTTGTGGGACAGTCCAGACTCTGAAATGTTAACAGTGTAGGTGTAGCAAAGAGAAACAGCATCTGTGAAGGAAACATGCAGTGAAGTTAGGGATGCAGAGCAGGAGCGCAGAGACAGTCTCTGCCTGTGGAATAGGAAAGTCCTCTGGAAAAGGGAGTCTTTAAAAATGTAGAAATAAGTAAATAAAATGAAACTTGAACTTGCATTGTGTTAAGTAAAGTATATTTTGTCATTCTCTCTTATTTGAGGATGCAGTTCAGGGTGTGGCCAAACCCTGCTCCCTACCAAAACAATTCTCTAATCTGGTATCACATGATCTTGCTGTGGTGGGCCCTGTCAGTGATGGCAGGAAAATTCAGGATGTCTTCTCTGGATCTGTTCATCCTGTAGAATCTCCAGAAGCTGCTCATGGAGACCGTGTGGAGACAGGATGGTGCCTGAAGCTGGAGGGGGGGGGGGGTGGGGACAGAATGGAGCAGGGTGAGGATGGAACAGAGGTTGCATGGACACAGTTTTTACTGATCTGTACTCTCAGATCATAGACTTGAACATCTTTGCCAGTTTGATCCTGCCTAGACTCACTTACGAGGGGAGTGTGCATTGAGGGACTGTTTTGACTCTTCATGATGTAGTAATGTCCAAACACTGTGGGCATTACCATTCCCTGGGCAGGTGGTCTCTGGCTGAATAAGAAATCTAGCTACGCTGGAGCTAGTGATCCAGACAGCAAGCAGCATCCTCCATGGTTCCTGCTGTTCCTCTCTGACAGTTAAGCAAATTTCTTGATCCTAGATAATGCTGTGTGGAATAGCACGTGGGCCCTGACCTCCATCCGGGCTTAGAAGAAGGAGTCAAATAAATCAGTTTCCCCCTTAAGCTGCTTCTGGTACAGTGTTTATCACAGCAACAGAATTAAACCAGAACAACACGCGCCAGATCCCCTGTCTACTGCACTGGTCCAGGGAAGGCTTCCTGGACTGGTCAGAGGCTAGCCCACACTATAGGACACAGAAGATCTAGGCTGGTTAAATCTGGCAGTAGAAGAGTGAGGGTGAAAAATCTCAGAGAAGTGCATGTGCCAGAGTGGATGGAACAGCAAACACTTCCAGGGGAAGTGTACAGAGTCCATGCTGTCTGTGGATGCTGGAGCATCCCTGCTGAGAAGCACAGTGAGAAGGACCAGGGAGAAGGGCAACAACATTGCTGGAAACTCAGAGATGATGATAATGATGATGCTGAGGGTGGGGTTAGGAAACTGTATTCCGGAATCCCAGATAATATGGCACAGAAAAATCCCACCAGGTGCAGTGGTCAAGAGGCAGTAACATCAAGACAGTGGTCTGTTTATGAGTAGGGGGACCCAACTTGATGCCTAACTGCTTAAGAGAGTCATGGCTAACAGATTATCAAAACTCTAAATACAGATAAGTGGTTAGCCAACCCACATGTGACTGAATTTTAATAATTAAAGACAGAAGAGATAATCATGAAGCTAAAAGCTGCTGTCTATGAAAATCCCAGGCTCCTGTGCCCATTGTTTAACTGAACCATTGGGGCTAAAGAGGTGGTGCTGTGGTTGTGGGCACTGTCTGCTCTTGCAGAGGATCCACATTTGATTCTCAGCAACCACACATGGTGGCTCAACACTGCCTGCAACTTCAGTTCCAGAAGATCCAACGATCTCTTTTGACCTCTGAGGCCACCAGGAACATATGTGGCCTGGCTGAAGGAAGTATGTTACTGGGGATATGGCTTTAAAACTCATTCCCATTTCTCCACCTCTAGACCTTGCCTGAGGTTTAAGATGTGTGTTCTGAGCTGGGCATGGTATCACATGGCTCTCATGACAGCACTTGAGAGGCAGAGGAAGGCAGATCTTTGCGAGTTTGAGTCCATATTGTTCTCAATAGTGAGCTCAAGGATAGCCAGAAGTATATAGGGAGACCTTATCTTAAAAAAACCAAACCAGCTGTGCAGTGGTGGCACAGACCTTTAATCCCAGGACTCAGAAGGCAGAGGTAGGAGAATTACTGTGAGTTCGAGGTGAGCCTGATAACAGAAGTAGTTCCAGAACAAGCCAGGACTGTTTCACAGAGAAACCTTGTCTCAAAAAACAAGCAAACAGAGCAAAGTGTAGTCAACCAGGAGATGTGCTACACTAAAATGGTAAGAATGATAATAATAATAATAGTAATAATAAACCAAACCAATCTAAAAATATGTGGGTTCTGAGCTTGCTGCTCCAGACACCATGCATGCTAATTGTCAAGCTTTTCCATGGTGAGGTGACAGACTCTTGTCACTCTGAATCTCTAAGATCCCAAACCCTTCCTTCTGTGTGTGACCTTGGCCTTGGTGACTAAAACAGCTACTGTATCAGTTCTGAAGTCTTCACAGGATAGATGGTCTCTGTTACACCTGCTCGGCTCTGTTCTTGGAGCTTGAAAGCAGCAGAGATGACATATGCATGAAGAGCAGGGCTGGACCTGCCTCTAGGACCCTCTGACCAGGACAATCTGTCAGTCTGAGGTGTCATTCCTAGGAAATCACACTGGTTCATGGCAGTGTCTAATTGGAGAATCGCCTTGCTTGGGCAGGAGTCAGCATGACTCACCTGCAGCAGGGAAAATACACTCTAATTCACTGTGGCTCCTGGCCTGGTCCTGGGCCCTGGAGAGAGCAGCCTCTGGGTCTGGGCTATCAGAAAACCCATCAGGCTTCAGGCAGACATCATGAGGTGAGCACTTTACCTCTAGGCTATTAGGTAGACAGGTCACAGTCAGATAGGATGTCCAGAAGAGAGACATGGCTGCAGGGACATAACAGGCCACTTGTATGTTGAAAGCTGCCTAGCAGGGAGAGACAAGGACTTTTTCTGACAGAACATCTCCAGTTCCCCAGATGGTTCTGGAACTCTTACCTCATCTAGAGAAGTAATTCAGGTTAGTTCTGAAGTAAGCTGCCACCTCTACCTCAGCAAGCACCTTGGGCCTTGAGGAGTGTCCTCTATGGGCATGAAATCCAAGGAATCCATAGGACAGCAATGGAGAGATCAAGAAACCCTAAAGCCAGCCCCCCTCCTGTCATTTCTAGCTGACCCAGATGTCACAGGCAGCATAGAACCCACTGCTGACTAGGAAACATGCAGCTTGCACAGTACATTAGAACACACTCGGAGAGTGGGGGGGGGAGGGGATGGACACCAATTTTGATACATGGGGTAGACCCTAATCTGGGATCAGAAGAGTGATGGAGACCAAATCTGCTGTCCCGTTCATCAGCTCGCTACCTTCTGAGTCTGCCACACTAAGTGTTGTATTGAGTATTTGATGCAAGACAGATTTAGTGAAGCTTGCCATGTGGAAGATACTTAGTGCCTGCTGTTTACAGAAAAACAAAACAAACAAAAACACGAAGCACAAATCTATTCCTGCCTAAAGGAACAGCATTATTGGATAACATTTTTCTAGGAGGTAGACTACATGGGCCCATGATGCCAGGGCAGAGTCTTCCACATGTCCCTACCTAGTACCATTGCTGGAATCCACTATAGTCAGCCCTGAGTAGCTTAGGTGCTAATCCACAGATTGTCCCCTGGTGGAAAAGGGGCTGAAAGGCACTTTATGGATGGGGAGTGGGAAAGGGTATATGGACAGGGAAGGGCGCTGAGCTGGCTGGTGGTTGATGAGTCTCATAGAATTGAAGCTGAAGGCTGATGGGAGAAAGTTGTAATCCTAGCACCTGACAGACCTAGAGAGAGAAGGAATTGTTGCAAATTCTTTAGTGTCGGCTATGGTGTGAAGTCCTGCAGTAAAACAAAGCAACAACAAGAATAAAAGTGTAAAAAGTAAGAAAGAGGGTGGTTGTGCATGCTGTGTTCCAAGAAGCACCCTTTGTCACCTGCTGGAATAAAGGGTGGAATGGTGGGAAGGACAGTTCCAGGGCAAAGAGGCTCAGGAATGGAGGAGGGCTTCTGAGGAATCCCCTGGGAAGACAGTCTTCAGAGCAGACTGCTTTAAATCCAAGGGAGCTGTCTGAGCTTCTTGACAGTGTCTGGCACTGTGCCCATCACCTCTGGACCTCCTGACTTGGTTTAGGCTTCCTGTGGACTTCAGCATGGGGGAATGCTCACTGTGTCCCCAGGCATCTTGTCTTCCTGACTGGTCCCAGTCTGGAACTTTTTCGCTCCTCCCCTGAGCATGATAGGGGCAGGACAAGGGACAGTGCGTCTCAAGGGCAGCTTTTCTGCAGGTGCCTCTTTTCTGAGGGTCCAGGAGCTTCCCAGAGGAGGACTGCTACCTTGGGATTCAATAGCCTGTTCCCTCCCATCTCCATCCTCCTCCCCGCACCCCTTAGTTTAGAGCAAGGCAACTCACCGGTGGATAGCGTGTCCATCAGACAGATCAGCAGAACAGGAAAGCACAGAGCCTGGGTGGAAGGACAGTGCATGGTTGCTGCACTCACAGGTTTAATAACCAGAGTTGTGGAGAGAAGCGCTGAGGTCTGTGCTGCCCTGCAGAGAGTTCACAAAGGTGCCAGTGGACTCTCTGGGAGCAGGGAGTACCTCCCTTTCCCTTTAAAGGACTTCAAACACCCATCACACCCGCCACATCCGCCAACACATGAGAGGGTGACATCCAGTCCCCAGCCTTTTAAACTTCTTGTTCCCGCCCAGAAAACGGCTCCACCTTCTAGTTTCCACATTGGAAATTTACCAAAGCAATGATAGTTATGGCATGACACCAAAAAGCTACATATTTATGTCTTGTTGGAGTAAACTTGGAGTCACGCCCAGGAGTCTCATCAGACTCTATGACACATACCTTCTTTACACCAGTGTCTCCCTCACCCTCCCTACTCCACCCTGCTGTTGGCCAGTTCTCCTCCAAGATCCAGCTGGTCCTTCTGCACTTCCCACAGCCTTCCCTCTCCCTACATCTCAATCCCAGACTCATTTTCTCCACCAAGTTCCTTCCCCTCAATCCTGTCCTCCACCCTCATGTTAATTGTTGTCCTGATTCTTGGCTCAGGGACCCAGCACTCCCCATCCCCTTACAGCTTGGGCCATTCTCCCCTCCCCACTTTCATCCCCTTCCTTTATCCCCATGCCCCCACACAGGGAAGACAATTACTATCTTGTCAGCAAGGCTGTGCTTTTCTCCATAACCTTGTGACATTGGAACCTAAGACCTTTAAAAAGTTTGGCCATCACAAAATTATTCCAATTAGGAACAGATTCTGGGGCCTAGAGAGATGGCTCAGAGGTTAAGAGCGCTGACTGCTCTTCCACAGGACCCATGTTGGAATTCTATCCTCTCTTATTCATTCTGTCCTGAGCCTTAGGTGTGGGATATTTTGAGGAAGCATCCCTTGGGACCGACTCCACAACCCTGCATGTTGATTGACTGTGGTTTTCTATAGAGGTCTCCATCCTCTCCAAAGAGAAGTTTCCTTAATGGGGGTGAAGAATACATTAACCCTTGTGTTAAAGGATAAATGCTTATAGATTGCTGTTAGAGATTATGCTGGTTTAGTAAATGAGTGGCTGTGGATTCTCCCCCAGTAACCATGATGTCAGCACTGAGAAGTTAGCTAGCTGTCCAGTACCATGCAGGCGTGATGTCCCTCTGGCTGAGCAGGTGTTAAATTCAATGAGAGAGATGCTGGTTACCACCAAGGCATGTGTGCCACTTCTGTACCTATAAGGGTTACTGTGGCATGCTACTCATTGATGTGGTCCATAGGCATCGAATGATAGGTGGGACTGTTGGAAGCCCCCCCCCCTCCTTTGGAAGCTTGCATGGCACCTTTTGGAACTAAGAAACTAGTCCCTCAGGGAGGTGACTTCAGGTCAGTTACAGCTCAGGGACCTCAGGGCCCTGTCTCTAAAGTGCATGGTGTCTTCAGCAGTAGGGTGTTACCTTCCAACGCTGCTGGTAAACAAGGGCAACAGCAATGGGCTGTATGTTTTGGGAGTTTTTAGACAGCCCTGACCAACAACTCAAAAGAGGGTCCTTTTGCCTAGTATTGGGGTTTTGTTAGGTAGTCTTTTGGAGGAAATGCCATCAACACACATGAAAAAAAATGTTCATTAAAACTACATATGCATAGTTATACCCTGAATTACATTTGCTTTTTTTAGGTAAATAGTTAATGTTAAGAGTCCTTGTGACTTTTCCAGCCATCATATTGTTATTTTACCTCCCTTGCTCCTTCTCTTATATTTACCTTCCTTAAGGAGACCTCATTTTCTGTATTTCCCTAGCAACACAATTGTATCAATTCTGATATTCCCCTTTACCCTCCTCCTACCTTCTTCTGCACTGCCCTTCCTCTCCCTCCCTAAGTCCCTTGTCCCTATCATATTATCTAACTCCTATGTGATACTGATGGGTCAGTACTAGGGCCTGAATGACTGACAGCCTGTCTTTTATAAACTGGACCAGACGGTTTAAGATGCAGGGCCCAAACAGGAGTATCAGAAGGAGGATAATCAAGGGACCCATCAAAGAAGACAATAGAGTTGTAAACCAGGGAGACTTATTAAACCATCCTACGAACCATCCTTGCTGTGATTCAAACAGCTTTTGTCTCTGCTTTAATCTTTCTCTAAGTTTTGTCATGGATCTTCTAACCAATCCAGTATGGTCAGCATAAAAGTAACATTTTCCCCTGAGTGTAGCACAAAGACTCCCTTTCTTTAAAAGCAACAGGTCCAGGCCCCTCCTGTTATGGAGCACCACCTCTGAAAGATTTGCTCAGACAATAGCCATATGAAAACTAGTACAATTGATGGGACAAAATAACTTATACTTTACAGAGAAGTATTGGGAGAAGATAGTAGAACATCTCTAGGATGTGCAGAATAGCTCTTAACAAAATTATCTGAATGAGGTTTGAAAGTAACTACATGGTAGACATTGTGAACCACTGTAGACCCGAGAATAGCACCCAACACTGTGGCAATAATAGTCTATTGACTACAAAGAACTTAACTCAGCCCTAAGAAACATATGGATGCCCTCTCATAAGAGGCAAGTTCAGTATTATGAAGACGAATCTCTTTTGCTGTAGACACCGGGAGTGTTGATCCTCAACTCCAGAGAATGTGCCGGAGAGGTCAGTTTTGGTCCAGCTGGCATCACATGGCATTTACGGGTTTCCATTGCATTCTGTAGCATCAGCTTTATCCAAATGTACAGGGTTGTGTCCATTGTGAGAACTTTAACAAACAATGAGAGAAAATGCAATACAGGATGACAAATGTTTAAAACAAAACAAAAAGCCCTAAAGCCAGAGGACAGCCAATGAAGACATAAATATCTTTTTTTGAGACTGACCTTACCCAGGCTTTACATTTGTAAGTACAACATTAAAAAAAGTTTTAACATCCCATTAACATCTATTTTATCATATACTAAACCACATCTGTTTATCTTTTGAAAGCCATATCATTTTATAACCCCACAGATTAAAGTAAGATTTTCCTGTAGGAAAACAAAACCTGTCAAGAGGTAAGGAAGCTTTAGGTGTGTTTGCTTTTCTCTGCAGTTATCTGCACAGAACAGTCTGATCTGGAAAAATCTCAAACTGTACAAAATAATTCCTGTCAATAGGTCCCAGACACACAGAGGAGGAAAAGGACAGAATTGCCTTTTGCTTCTGCTGTCTGATATTGTGCTTCAAAAGACACTAAAAAGTAAGCAGAGCCCTGTGGGTTTCTGACTCTAGGAAAGAAGAGCCTTAAAGGTGATGTAAGCCCACCTTATAGCAGATGTGCCTGCCCTGTATAAGCCTTGAGCTCAGGATTTCATCACCAGGGTCAGCCACTATCAGCGGATACATGAGCAGCAGCTAACTAGCCAGGCAACAGAACTAGTGGCAGCAATTGCCGGGGTGTTTTGAACCCAGAACAGGACAGGAGGGAGGGAGGTCTGTCCAGTCATTTTTGCTGGTCTACAGGGCCAATTATATCAATTTGTTCTTTTAGAATCTTATTTATCCTATCTATCTGACCTGAGCTTTGGGGTTGATAAGCACAATTTTCAATTGATCCCCAATGTCTTGGCCACATCCTAACTTACCTGGGCAACAAAGGCAGGTCTATTATGGGACATGATTATCTTGGGCATCCCAAACCTCAGGATGATTTCTTTATGATCTTTTTAGCCATTACATTGGGTGTCTCAGTCTTGGTCAATGTATGATGGCTATCTTCTTTGGCAAATGTGTGGCCTCCTGGAGGCTCAAAATTTCCGTAGATGTCAACAGTCGTTTTTGTCTGTATATTGCTTCGTGTATATAGGTGAGCGCAAAAGCATACCTGCTGTTAGTATAGACGTTCCCTCTGCCATCTGCAGAGCTTGTATCAAAGCCACAAGTTCAGCGTTCTGGTCGGGCCGCCATCCCTGAGGGGAGGCTACTGGCCCAGATCATTTGTTTCCTGTCCACCAATGTTGTCCCCGCCTTCCGCTTACCTTCAGTCTTGTGTATCTGCTCAGCTTGGACCGCCAGCCTTGTGCCCCTGGCAAGCTTCGTCCTCATTTTTGGCTCTGCCTGGCACAGCTTAGTCTGCCATTTTGCCATTTGCTTGTCCTTTATGCAGATGCTGGTAGGATCCATAGTCCATCAACGTCAGCCCAGCACAGGAGCAGTAGTCAGGCACAGGAGGGCACCTGTGGTAGCATGGTGACTGCTGTATCGCAGTCTGACATGGGTGAGGGGAGCAAGACTGTAGAGTGAGCAGTCAGGGCTCATGCAGGCTTTAGAGCAAGCACAGCACCAAGGCAGTTGCTAGGAGGTGAGGATTTCTTCAGCGGTGACGGCAGGGAGAGGTGGTCATCCTGGTGAGGAGGGCGTGGCAGAGGCAGACAAGCAGCCTGCGTCTCCTGCAGAACTGAAAACAGCAGCGAAAGCAAAAGTCCCTTGTTTGGTTAACAAAAGGCTCTGGTCATACATTCAGAAGTGACCAGGGAGGAACGAGTCATTTATTTGTCTTTTTCTGAAATTTATAGTTCGTAAGGTGTCCAGTTTGTATTCTTTACTCAGTTCCAGTGTCCCTCTTCATTTGTCTTTGATCTTCTGTTGCCCAGGCTCATTATCTGTCTGAATCCTATCTTTCTTTTGCTTCCCGCCTCTCTCTCTTTCGCTTCCCTTTCTCTGTCCCGTGTTTAACACTTTTTTGTCTCTCCAAATTTTGCAAGGTATAATCTTGTAACCTATCTACTTGCTGTAATTTTTTTTCTTATATCTGATGTTGTCTGTCCTATGTAGGCCATGGCTACTGCTGTCTGTTGGCCTTCAGAGGTTGGGTAAAATGCCTGTAAACTTTTATTAATCATTTAAGGAACACAGATTTTAACTAGCCCCTGGAGAACCTCTCTTACCTTGGCCGAGTTAGTGGGGTGCCTTGCAGCCCCGCCCTGAGTTTTGCCATGAGCCCAGCTATTATGACTGTCAGTTTCTCCCTTTAAGAATTAATTAAACATCATCATGTAGAAGAATGAAAATAGATCCATATTTATCTCTATGTACAAAACTGAAATCCAAACAAATTAAAGACCTTAACATAAGGGCAACAATATAAATAGAATTTTGAGCATAGCCTCAGTAGCATAGACATTAAAGGAAACAATCAGTAATTGAAATCTCCAGAACTGAGAAGCTTTTTGTATAACAAAGGATATAATTAACAGAACATAATATCAGCCTGTAGAATAGGAAAGGTATCTTTATCAATTATTTTAAAACCATACAAGGAACTTAAAAGCTTAATCCTCATAAAAACAAATATTTCAGTACAATTACGTCACAGACCAAAACTGTAAATTCTCAACAAATGAACTTGAAATGACTGAAAGATATTTAAAATTTGCTTAAATATAACATCCTTAATCATCAGGGAAATGCAAATTAAACAATTCTGAGATTTTATCTTATTTCTGTAAAACTGACCAAGATTAAAAATATCATTTGACAATTTACGCTTACAGCTACTTTGAACATTAGCATGGTGGATTTTCAGAATTAGATAACATATTATCTTAAAACTTAGTGACATTCTTTATATTATCATAAACAGAATCTGAAAACAACCCAAAATGCACCTTTTTATATTAATAATAAATGAGAATCTTCGCCATGTTTTTTTTTTAAATAGCCATAAACATTATAAAGAGTCAAAAGGGCCATTTTAACTCAACCTCATCATTCAGTAACACCCCCTTTGCCAATGTGGTGGGGTGAGAGGCTTTAGCAGATCTTTGCCATGTGGGGCAACTCGGGGCCCCCACCTCATCACAAGCATTGTGAGCAGACAAGTGTTAAATTTAGATCTAAACTTGGGCTGGCTTAGAAGCTCAGCTGGGCTGGGGCCTTTACAGCAATAGTTCTTGAAGACAGTGTAGTCCTGCATCCATCTAAACAGAGCTGGGAATTTACTTTCCTCTGGACACACTGCATAGTAAGAAATATAGAGACCAACAATCTGTAGTTTTTCTATAAGCACATTATTTTAAAGTGACTTAATTTAAGTTTTTTAATTTTTAAACCTGGATGTAGCACATGATGACTGGAACAGAGCATCTCCAGAAGAGAGATGCTATCAGGGCTGGTAGGCCCTTTTAATATCAGCTTACTCCACTACCTGCCACTTCTGAATCCACATTCACCATTTACCAACAGCCACAGGGATATTTACTTGCAATCTCTTGCCCTACTGCCAAAACGAAAAGGTCCAGGTTCTTTAGGGGACCTTTGCTTTTTAATAGGGTATCCGACCCCAGAGAAATAGCCTACTGCAGGTTCCCAGGCTTACTGGGTCCTGTGGGGAGGAATTAGCACCAGCTACTTCCCCTGGGCAAGGGCCACAGATCTTTGGCACAAGGTTTTACATGGCATTTGCAGATGGGGGGCTGCCATTCAGTCTCTAGCACCTTATTTTCCAAGGAAAACAAGCCTTCTCCACAGGGAACCCCACTGGGGATCCTCCCAGGACCTGGCTTCAGCCCCAGCTCCGTCCACAGTGAGCTTCTAGCTGTATAGCACAAGCTTCCCACACCCCACCTCAGTACTCACAGCAATCTAGTAGCTTTTCTCTGAATAGGATTCCAGAGGCCCCAGGAGGCATTCCCTCCAGGGAACTTGTGAGGTCAGGATTGGTCGGCCATCTGGAAGCCTCAACTCAGTTCCTCGGGATGCCACATCGGTCACCACGGAGGCTCCTCTTTAGCCTTCACACTGCCAGTAGCAGCTGGGAAGACCTTTGCAATGGCTGTAGGGGGAGGGAACACCCTGGACTGTCTAAGGCAGCCCTCCTCCCCCAGTCATCCCGTGCGGTGCTGGTGGACTTCAGGTCAGCAAGGGAGGACGTCACTCTCAGCACAGGGATTTCAGGGGGGGCCACGGCTGCCCCCTTCTCTGACTCCAGCCAGGCCAGGGTTGCTGCCATGCCCCGCCCTGCGTCCTGCTGAGAAGTTTGCTCAGAGCTGGAGCTGATTGCCCCGCCTAGGTCTGGCTTCAGGCTGTGCCACAGGAGATCACCAGTCCTGCTCCCTCCCCCCCTCGAAACAGCAAGCAGGGCAGTTCAGCGGCAGCCTCAGCAAGGCACAGCCTAGAGAAGTGAAGGAGGGGCAGACTGTCAGCGTTCCTTTTGGATTTTCACAGAGTTAGGGTCAAAGAGATGGTTACTTACTGCCCCATGGTACGAGATTTAGACTCGAGTACAAACAGATATACAAAACAAAGAACATATCAAACCCCAAAATACAACAATTAGACACAGACAATACAGACAACACAGACACGCTGCGAGGCTTCAGCCCAAAGCCGAAAGCAAAATTTCAGACGGAGACTATGGGAGTCCGGACCTCCCTTCTCCAACCAGATCCACATATCCTTCCGATATGGGTTGAGCCCCGAAGGCTCTAGATACCCTTAGAACGTCTTCCAGGGCTACGAGGGAAAGTCCGGGCTCGTCATCCCCTTTCTACCTCGCCAGATTCAGAGCACTCAGATCTGAGCTTACAGAGCTTAACAAAGAACACAAATGACACAGACACAGCTTACCTCCCAGTGGTGGGTCAGTAGTTCCTGGTGGGGGGGTCTTCAATTCCCGGCCAATGCACCAAATGAAAGACCCTCAGAGAGGACCTTTCCTCTCTGATGAAGACCCCAGAACCAGGACACTCCGAGTCCAGGCCACAGGATGCAATTAGCAAGAGGTTTATTGAGTAAACACAGGTACCTACGGGCGGCAAAGTCTTTCAGAGGACTTGCGCGCCTGCCAACTGGAGGGCAGGCTTTTTATAGGGAAGAGCAAAAAGCAAGTTTACAGAAGCAAAAGTGTGGTTATCGGAATGAGGCGGGGGCATGACTGTTCCTATCTCATAGATATCCTGTTTTGCAGTCAACCTGCTTTGTTGACGTCCTATCTTATTGACATCCTGCCTTGCAGTCTTCCTATCTCATAGACATCCTGCTCTCTCAAGCACATGGGATGTTTTTACGAGAGCAGGCTGGCTGCTGATCCGGAGAATTTTTTTTAAGCAGACAGGACTTTCCCCTGGGAGCATGCTAGCTGCGGGTTTTGAGGAGGGGGTCTGTAGGGTCTTTCATTGAAAGGAGCATGGGCTCCATAGTCCACAACTGCTTCTTTTAACTGCTAAATATCCTTAAAGGCCAGGGGGTTATGCTGCCTGGCCCTCTGTCCCTGCTGATCAATATTTTCCACAACAGGATAAATCTGCCTCTCTCTACTTAGATTATTTAACCTGTCCCGGATCTCTCGGATTTCTGCCTCTAAGTCTATAGGGGCAGAAGCAGTAGTATAAGAATATTGCGGCGGAGGTCTCATGGAGACATCTCTGTTTGCTTCCTTCCTTTCCTCTTTTTCTAACTTCTTTTTTTATCAGTGCGATCTCCTTTTTTAAAATTTCCTCTTCTTCTTCTGTATCCTTTCTAATATTTCCTGTTCCTAAAACTTCCTGTTCCTCAAAACTCTTAATAAAACTCACAGATTCTACTTCCTGAGTCTCCTCAAGGGTTTTGTTTAAACTCTCTAATTGCTCTTTCACTTTAACATCATCACTGAGAAGAGCATCTCTGACCAAGCGCCATAGTGAAAATATTGTTATGGGGAATTCTTCAGGCCCTCGCTCTTTCAGTGCATTTTGAAGATCAGCCTTTACCTGCTCCCAATCAGTAATGTTAAAACCCCCTGCGTGTAGGAACCAGGGACTAAACTCTAAAACCGTCTTAATGATCTCTTGTGCTGTCTCAACTTTAATACTGGTGCCTCTACTCTCCAAAAGAGCTAACAGCTGGCCTGTTAACTGGCCCTTTAACACTGGAACAGAATTACTTGCACCCATAACCAATTCACCCTCGCTGCTCAATTTCTTACCTGCTGGCCAGCCTTCCCGAGGGCGACCTCTCAGGGATCCCTACTTTTCGATCTCGATCTCGCAGATGGGTCTAGTTGCTGATGATCATCCCAGCGGGGCCTCCAATTGTAACACCCGATTTTGTGTTACACCCTCGATACAGTTGGCGTGCCACTGTACCGAACACGAGTTGGGCAAGGGCCTGGAGATTGAAAGGACACACAAAGAGACCAGGGTCAT